CGGTGCCTACATCAAGGAAAGGCTTACCTCTGGCAGGAGCGCAAAAAAAACGAGGACCCTCATATCCCGTATAGGTATTTCCGCGTGGAACTTATCCGTAGTACCACATTTGACTTTTCCCTGTATCGTCCTCAGGATGAAGCGTCGGTAATCTTCGATCGAATATTAGATAGGATTGACAATAATCTCACAGAATTTCCTTCGGCCAACTTTCACATATGCGGCGACTGCAATGTTCACCACAAAGAATGATTAGTCCACTCTAACAAAAACCGATGAGGAAGGCAGATATTACAGAGACTTCTCCATCGCATATGAACTAACCCAGATCACTGAAGAACTCACTCGAGTCCCGGATGCGACCGGATTGCAGGCGAACCTCCTCGACCTTTTTCTAAAATCATATCCTGACAAATGCTCAGCAAAAGTTTTAGACCCCATTGGCACGTCAGATCATTCCCTAGTCAGTGTCCAGATTAACTCCAAACCAATGATATCCTCTAATTTACCGTTCCAGAAAAGGGGTTTTCGCTATACGGAGACAGACTGTGATAGCTTTTGGTCCTATATGATGGAAGCTCCTTTCCCAACCTTCTTCAAACATGCTGCCCCCAAAACTGCTGCATTAATCTCCGAATGTTTTATGCACAAAATATTCCAGCAAAAAACAATCAGTCAGCTCTGCTTGACTCCTGAATTCGCTGCAATCATAGCTCACCGGAACCACTACTTCGAAGTAACGATGTAATCTGGCCCTTAATTATTTTAGAACCACCGGCAATGACTGTAAGAGAGTCCTAAAACGCAAATTCCAGCTACGCGCGATCTGTGTATGCCAATGTTGAAAATAAATTGAATCTCTCGAATCCTGAAAAATAACCAACCAAATTATGAACAGAGGCAAAGCGGTTGTGCCCACTAATATATATAGCCCCGTGGTCATATCAATACTCGACAGACAAGGCGAAGCTTTTCACCTCGATCCTTGCCTCAACGTTAGATGACAGAGGCCATCATTTCCCCATCTTCCCATGTCTCACTGAGCTCAATCTCAGTAATATATTCATGTCAGCAAGAAGTCTTTAAACTTATCAAAAACTTCTACCCCCCCACAAAAAAAAAGCCACTGACCCAGACAAAATCCCAGTAGGCGTCCTTAAGAATACCAACCACAGAATTATCTTCGATTCTTCGCTGCTTGAAAAAGAAGTCTTTCCCAAGCATGTGGAATGTGGCAAACGTATGTCCGGTCTTCAAGAACGCAGGCAATAGATCCTCCACCCCCCAATATAGAACCATTAGTCTCCCCAGTATCATCAGTAATCTTTTTGAGGCCTTAATCAACAAGAATATCACCGAACACCTAAATAGGGACAACCTCTTGTGCGACAAGCAGTATGGGTTTCAATCAGCCCGCTCTACTGCTGACATTCTACCATTACACACAGAATTAGTGAGGCCCTTGACGGTACACATGCCGCAAGGAGCATATCATTAGATATCTCGAAGGCCTTCGACAAGATGTGGCATAAAGGTTTGCTACACAAGATCTCCAGCTATGCATTCACTGGAAAGGTCTTCTCTATTATAAAATCCTTCTTAACAGGAAGGATTTTATAATAGAGAAGATCTTTAATAATATCCTGAAAGTATTATTAACGACCAAGGTCCTGGTGGTCAACGCAGGCGTCATTTCTCGGACCAACCATCTTTCTAATGTACATAAATGACCTACCTAAGAATATACTCCGATCATTTGTAAACGTCTATACAGATGATACGACGATATACGGACGCACCTCTAAAAGTCTTGGTGATCAGAGATTGACAGCTGACCTCTCTTCCGATCTAACATTAACTTCCCACTGGGAAAAAACTGGCTGGTTGCATTCAAGGTCTCTAAAACCAAACTGGTTACATTCCATCACCGCCGATCAGACCGCGAACTATCGTCAGTCACGATACTTTGATATTGGGCCTCAAACTCACACCCGACCTCAGGTGGAATTCCTATATACGATCCATCGGTAAAGATGCTGGTAAAATAATCGGCTCCCTCTACCGCTCCAGTAAATAACCGACTCCTTATGCCAAGAGCCATATCAGGCCCCAAATAGATTACACTGATAGTGTTATCATATTTGGGCAGTAGAAGCCCAGACCTCACTTTTCAACCTTGATAGAGTTCAAAAGCGTCTCCGGGTCCTTGTTGGAGAAGAATTATTTTCCACCCTCCAACCTCTCTCTCACAGGCGGGATGTGGCGAGTCTCTCACTGCTCTATCGCTACTACCATGGAAAGTGCTCGAACGAACTGCAGCTCCTGGTTCCACCCGGTCTGACCTTCGCCGTTAGGACCCACCATGCCACTTACATAGTGACAAATCACCCTCATTCCCTCCGTATTTCATCGACGAAAAAAAGTAAGCTTTACTCAAACAGCTTCTTTCCGCAAACAGACTCCCAAGTTTCCTCGATCACTACAATTGTTGGAATTTAATTTGAAAACAACAATTTCACAAGTTCACATTCTCGCTATTTTTTATATCCTCACTCCAACCTCTTTTTAATTTCAAAACCGGCTCCCAAGGCCCTGATTCCTATCAGAAATAAGAATATAACGAGTGGGCTGGAAAATAAAAAGATTATTATTCTTTCCATGGTACCTCACAGCTTCTTCACTTCAACCTGTTTTCAGTACCTTCGAAACCGGCTCCCAGGGCCCTGATTCTTATCAGAGATAAGAATGTGTTTTCTGATTAATAGAGGGGCCAGGAAATTTGTACAACGATTTTGGAGGAAAAAGTCTCCGATCCATCGGAGCCTACCAAAACTCCATAAATTTGGAGAATTTTGCCAGTGAGAAATCTGCCCACCGTCTGTGAGGTCGACATTAGGGAGCTCCAGAACCTCTTTCACCAAAGAAGAACTACTAAAGGGCTGTCAAGAACGAACATCGGTCCACTATTCAAGACCAATCCAAAGCTGCATCCCTTCACCACTCCTTCTGACGAGCCCACTGGACTTCTGTCGTCGACCTACGAACTCACTCAAATTGCAGGATTCCTTCAGCTGCGAACAATTTTCCCACTCTACAAGAACTGTGAGTGTTTAGTTTAAGTTATTAACTTAACAATAATATTCTAATCGCTTAAAGAACTCTTTAGGCGCTCAGAGAAATATTTTGAGCAAGCCTTTTTTAAGTTAAGAACATTTTCCCTTTTCCATTTCTTTCTCTCCTAATTGTCTTTTCATCCCTTTACCTTTTTTTTTCTGTATATGTTGTAAATAAACACTTTCTTCTTTTGTTGTTACTCACCGAGTAGGAGTTGTTTCTTTATTCGTACGCGCCTAAAAGAGAGAGTTTGTCCGCTCTAATCTTGCTGTTGTACTCGCGTTTTTTTTTTCGCGATTTTTTAAACCTCAACCCAATTTTTAACCTCAAACCTTTGATGTGGGAAAGCCGGGACAAATTTCCTAGCACAATCTTAAACCTGTCCAAGTCTAGAATCAACCGTTATCTTCTCCTCCTATCCATAAACTACTCCTTAACGTAACCTATCCCGTGTGGCCTTGTACAGGGTGAACCTTATTGTAAAAAAATAAAAATGTAAATTTTGTTTTTTTAGGATACGCGTGCGTGCCCGAACGCGACACGCAAAAATGGGACATGATTTTCCACTGAAGAAAAATCACTCACGGAAGCAAAAAATTTAGAATGATAAAAAAAAGAAAAAAAAAGGTTCGTAATGTACTGAATATCCAAGTTTCTTCTTTCGTCTTATTACTCAATACAGGCTTACCCTGAATTTAGTTTGGCATAAGGCTATGATTTTAGTTCACGCAGTGAAGATCGAAAAATAAAAGAGGAATAGTGGTCTGGAAGACAGCGACGATTTTTCAAACTTTCGCATTTCTGCAGGTGCTTATCGATCTGCGCCAGGTTCCTTTAATAATTGTCTCTCAGTCTAACTTAGTCTGGCACACGACCATAAATAGTGAATCATTGAGGTTTGAAAATCGCATAACAAAACATCATCCTGCAGTTGATGTTTTGTTCCAGGAATTAACTGAAAGTGAAAGAAAGCTAAAAAAAAAAAAAAAAAAAAATTACAGAACTAAAAAAACTTTGTATTATTGAACAGTTTGTTTTAATTTTATTTTTATGTAGCAAACACAATTATTTTGTAAATTCATTCATTCATTCTGTTGACGTTTTTTTTTGTTGTTCTGTCTTGGTATCTATTTTTACAGGCTTGTGTTATTTTGGGGCGTTTTTAACAACTGAGCCAAGTGCGTGTGTGTGCAAAAATTGTCAACATTCTTTTTTGAAAACCAGAGATTATATACAATGTTGACAGCTGAAAACCGGTTTTTCGTTGGACAAAAAAACAAAACAAATTGTACATACAAACACACAGACGCATGCACACACATATGTGTGTGCGTGTTTAATTCGTCGTTTTATTATGTCTTGTACAATTCTGGTTTTAAATTTTTAATTTGGTAAATTTTAATGCCTTTTTATTTATTTATTCAATTGTTTATTCTTAGAACAATGAAATAATTACTACTACTATAGTTAGTAAGGTTTAGTAAATAAATACATTGATGTTTCGTTTAGCCTTCCGTATTTGAAAAAATCTTCCCGCTTTACTCTTTAGTTTTCTGAATTGTCAAGCACATAGAAAGTTTGTTTTTTTATTTGAGAAATTGCGTTTTAATATTTAAAAAATAACAATGTATATATTATTTTCATTTTCTGCCCTAAAGTAAGTAATTTCTAACTGAATGTCGAAATTGTGTCAAGGTAGGTAAGAAGAAGGCGGTGAGCTTCGGACCAGGCTGGACTCGATTCTGTGGAAAGGGAGAGAAACTACAACAAATATGGCGACAGATCAGTCAGTGGCAAATGACTGCTCTAGCAATTCTACCAACCAACAGGCATCAAGATGCCGCAAAAACGAATGGGTAAAATTAAATGTTGGAGGAACAATATTCATGACGACTAGGACGACATTATGTCGGGACCAGAAGTCTTTTCTCTATCGGTTAATACAGGATGAACCGGACCTCAATTCAGACAAGGTAAGTCTGCTCTCAGAAAGTTATAAGTAGTAAAAGGAGAAAGAATAGAATGGGAAATGACCAAGAAATGGGGGATCAGTTTATTACTTTACTTTTAATGTAAATTGTTCACCCACTTTGAAGGGGTCCGATATACAGTTTGGTCGAAAAACGGGGTTAGAACTTTTTATTGTAATTCTAGATTGTATTTTGACGTTTAGTTTTTTTTCTTTAATAAACTGTGATCATAATTATATCTCGGTGTAAAATGTTTAAGCAATATATTGTGAATTTTAGGATTGCTTTTGTGATCGAAGAATTATAGAATCCCTAAAAAAAATTGGTTTTCTGATAATTGTTAATCTTACTCTTATTGGAGTCTTGTTTGTTTTGTTAAATTAAATAATATATAAATTAATGTATTTCTTGAATTCATACTTGCAGAAGAATAGACTATTTTTTTTCTAAGTCGGGTGTGCAGATGTTTGTCTTTCAGATTTGATTCCTTACCGTTCCGGTTGAGGGGAAATGAAACATACTTAAACAATAACAATCAAATAATAAAAGAAAATCGCGATGCAATATATTGCTTAATTATTTAAAAATATATTAATAAATGCTTATTTTTCTTCTTAAATTTTCATTTTAAGGATAAATTTTCATTTTAAGGATAAATTTTAAATTTGATTCCGTTTTTTTTTTTTTTTTTTTTTTTAATAATCACTTCATTTTTTTTTTTCTTGACTTTATCTTTTTTTCTTTTTTTTTTGCTGTTCTTTTAAGTTATATCAACATGTTTCTTTATTACTGTTAATATATTTTAGTTTTTTTTTATTTATTTAAAAAAAAAAATCCATTTTCTCTCTTAAACCCCCAAAAAACCCTACAGACGGTAATACGATTAACCACACTGGAAAACTAAGACACTTTTTAAGAAACACACTACACACTTTTTCTTAAATTAAAAAAACTGAAAGAACGATTTCCTTACTACCTAATTTATAAAATAGAACTAAGTCGCAAAACTCTAAAAACATTTCTTTATTTACTTCCTAAAATATATCTTATAAACACCTCTTTAAATTCTAAAAGCCGGCTTGCACCTACCGCTATCTTCTACTTTTTTAATTGTACATAAAGTCGGGGAATTATTTTTAAAATAAAATCATTGTAAAATGACCCCCCATTTTTTTACCGTGCTGCACAACGCTACAGTAGGCATATAGTAAAAATAAGTGGGGATCCGATTTATTTCATTTTATATACTTTGTTTAAAAATATTCGTTGTCGCAGGTTTTCGTGATTAAATTTTCGTAAACGATAAGAATAATAATAATACAATATTTTGAAGATTTTTCTCGCAGATTTTTATTTAATTCTTTGTAATTCACTCAGAATAATTACCAGCTTTTGTTTTGATGGGTGTTTTGTTTACTTTCTCACTATTTTTCTTCAGTTTTGATCATTTTTACACAATCATTAAGCATTGGTTGACTAAAACAATCAATTTTCTCACGTTGTTTAGTGTTTCTTTTGCTAAATGCATTTTTAAGTAACTTGCTTGATCTCTACTTAAAATTTACTAAATAAAACTAAAAAAAAGTAAAAAACTAATGAAAACCAATTTTTTTTTTCTCGTTTACGTTCTTTTGCTGAAATTTAAATTTACTTTTATTTAAATTTAAAAATTCAGTGTCTTTTTCTATCATCTCTTAAATATATATATATATATATATATATATATATATTTCCACTTCTCTGTGTTGTTTTACTTTTTTGAGTCCAGAAACTCAAATTAATTTTTAAAAAATGTCATGCTTTCTTATTTACTAATGATTAATGAAGGAATTCCAGTTATTTATTTTATCGTCGATGATTACATCGGCTATCACATCTCAATTACTTCTTATTTTCAATTGTTTAATAATTGATAAATAAAAATAGGGAACTTTTTTTTTTTTTTTTTAAGTTTAAAAAATTTATTTCATTCACTGCTTTAAAAAAAACAGAAATAAATTTTTAGACTTAAAAACTAACATTTAGTAGTGGGCAATTCTCTCTTTACCCTCAAATTATTAGTCTATTTATTTCTAAATAAATAAAATTAAACTTCTAACCTCTAATTACTATTACAATTAATGATTATTAGTTGCTATGATTTTTCTAATGCATGTTTGTTTTTCTGTCTCCTACCTTGAGTGTGGTGCAGAGTAAAATTGACTTGTGTAGTTGTTTACGGTTTACCAATCTCCTCAACAATTACATTTCTCTAGAATTCCCCCTTTTTTTTCCTCCTAAAATTGATATCATGGGGAAAACTTTAAAGTTTTAAAAGGCATAACATAAAGAAATATTGTACTCAAGGCAAATATCTAAAAAGTAAAAACTAAACATTTAATAATGACAGTCGAATACATCATGATGACTTTTTTTTTTTTTTTTTTTTTTTACTTTATTTATTATTACAAAATAATTTTATCAAGTTGGCAAAAGAAATCTATTTAATTTCTACTTATTTTAGTTGATTTGTTGCCTTAATTATTAAAAAGAATAAATAAATCTTTTCGAAAGCTAAGATTTTTTTTAAGCATAAAGTTCAAGTACAAAACAAAAAATATTCATTTGATCTTCGGCATTAAACTGAGAAAATGCAAGGGAGGCAAAAAATTAAATAAAAACACGAATTCGTTTATTAATGGAACTGTTTACAAAGTGGGGGATCAATGCGCAATGATTGACTTGTAATAAACTGACCCCTCATATGGCTTACAGGGAAGAAAATTACTTTGACAATGCTACAGGTGTTCTATTTAAATTTGTAATCAACGTTGTGCTAATTTGATTTTTAAATAATTTGTATCGACTAGAATTGAATGGCTTCTATAATTTGTCATCAGGTCGCAAAGATCCCAATTAGACTGCTAAAAATAAATAAAACAACTTTGAAGTCTTTTGTCAAAATGGCTGACATACCACGTGACATTGCTATAGCTATAATAATCCTTAAGGTTAGTTTCGTCCCCTAAGAAAAAGAATTTTTCAGGCCTTTTCCTCCCTTCTCCTTATAAATACAAGGCGGTTTACTATAGACTGCATATGTGTCGTTATATCAGTTTTGTATTTCTGGTGGGCACCGTTCTTCTGCTATTCCTAGACCCGGCTCACACGTGTTACGTATGCTTTTTCAGAAATGCTTGCCATCTGTAGCATGTTTTGCTTGTTGTATCACCCTTATTTGTAGATGCGAGGGTGCTGGTATTAGACTGCTAAAAAAATATATCCTATGTTTTATTTCCTGTTACTATTCCTTCATTAATTATTTTATTCTGAAAGTCTTCGTACATTTTAATTTGTCGTTAGAAATAAAGGCGAGACACTAAGTAGTAGTAGTTTTTAGTATTTATTCGCATACTCACTAGAGCCGATCTAATATACAATATTACACTCGCACAACACTCGTACGTGTGGGTAAAGGCAAACATTTTCCAGTTCCTGCTGGTATTTGCCGTAGGTGTCAGGACGTATCCCTCAGTTTAGTTCTAGTGTACGTATGAGAGAGTTGCTGCCTGAAAGATTGATCTCCTCCTGTAACTAGACTTCTAACTACGAGATTACTCGCCTAAATGCTAAGAGGACAATTTAATTTTTCCTCGACTTTCCTCATTTCATTAACTGCTGAGTTTTAAACCCTACTATTTATACTAAATATACGTTATATTATGTCAGGTCAGTTTACTAGTGCCGCTGGTACGGTAAACACAGTAAGTACTATCTACTACTGCATGGTCAGATCATCAGAGACCAGTTCCCATCCCCACCAAGTTTTTCTGATGATGAGAATGGCTAGACACCTGGCAGGTTAAAAACAAGTTCTGTCAAAGGGCGGATGAACTTTCTGTTACAGTCAACGAGCCATCTAGCACACTAGGGGGTGAACTGGGCTTCCTAGAATTTAAAGTTAATGGCCAGGGCGGAGACTTCCCCAGATGGAATCAACATCCATGTGTCTGTGACAAACTTTCAAGTTGGAATACATTATGGTTTGATTTGTAATGGAATGAACATGCCAGGTCAACTTTTCTAAGACACTCTATACTTGAAGGAATACCTTTCAACCCAGATATATGGATGGAACTGGTCAAGATCTGCTGCAAAGTGACCCTATAACCTTACCTGGTCAGGGCAATGAATATGAAGACACATTTTTTGATTATAGGTGCAACTCTGCACAAAAATATTCTAAGGGATGGTGATTTTTTTATTTTATTTTATTTCACTTACTGATCCTTTTTTTTTTTTTGATAGATTTCCTATTAGATGACAAAAAATATTGTCTTGTCTACTTGTACAAGTATTAAATTAACATATTGAGATACAATAAATTTAGTATTTAGCTAATTATAATTTGTTCTAATGGCTAGAATGCTTTTACATCAATGTGTAAAAAAACAAAAAAAAAAAACAAAGTGAATAATCTCTCTATATAAGAAACTTCAGTGAACTTTTGTAATAATACACTCCTCTATTAGAAATATTAAGTTTTTTAATTTTTTAAATCACTTAATTACTATGAGAAATTTAATTTGCCAGCATAGTATAATATCGATTTATCAAAATATTTAAAAAAAAAAAATGCTTAACTTAAAATCGAGTTCTCATTAAAGCATTTTTTGTAATAGCATAACCTTATTTAATCATTAAGTGTTTTTGAAATTTTAAAATTATTCATACAATGATCACACACTGGTGCTGCTTAGATGTTTTGGCTTTGGTATATAAACCATCAATTACTAGAAAAAAATATTTTTCTTTCTACACATTTTTGGTAAGATTTGGAGCAATAAGTTTTGGCTTATACAACTTTCAAAATTTACAAGCTCTCATGAGGCATGGAACATGAAAATTTATCTTTAAGCTAGATAGGTTCAGACTTTGTTTCTACTCGCATGAATTTTTGAAAGAACCAATTTAATAAGCGAGATACTAAAGGAAATCCTCTGTTAAACAAAATTCATCTTAAT